ATAACATGTGCATACATACATACACACAGTACATTACACATACATGCATACTTAAGCATACATGCATACATAAGCATATAAGTATTATCTTGGTATCAAATATTAATGGGCTGTGCTTAAAATTATTGATCATAGCATAACAGAGTAAGTTAACAGAGTGATTAGCAATAATTAACTAATTATGTGGTTAATTACCTTTGAGAAGGCCAAGGATGAGGAGCATGAAGAAGAAGGGCAGGAAGGAGACGAAGCTCCATAGCTTGGGCACAAAATGCACCGGAACCTCCATCAGAGTACTTTTGGGCAACAATTGAATTTAATAGAAACTAGAACAGTAGGGAGAGAGAGAGACAGAGAGTGAGAGAGAAAGAGAGAGAAAGAGAGATAAAGCTGTTGATTGAAGTTATATAAAGGGAAGGTGAGGATGCATTACGTGGCGGGAAATGGGGGAAAAGGTGGACACGTGGCGAATGGTGGGGCCTGTGAAGCGTGATTCCATCGTCGCGCGGTTGAGGCGACGACAACACACGACACCGCTTTCTGGTGGCGGGAACCGCCTTGCGAAGATATTTTATTTTACTTTTAATCACATGTTTAGCTTTTATTGTACAACTTATTTTCATTTTGGCCCCGGAACTATCAATTTTGACACAATGGCAATAGTATTCAAATTGAAAATTCTACTAAAATTAGTAGATGAAATTCGACATACCAATTTGGAACTACCACTTATGAGAACTACGTTATCCCTTCAAACGTTTGCAATTATATCAACGTAAGCATTGTCTTGAAGACGGTGGTAATCGAACTTAGGATATCACCCGAGCTATAATTTCTTTGTATTCTCGTATCATTTTTTGACAATATTAACCTTATAGAACTTAATTGTTAACAGATCAAAACTATAATTAAGGAGAGAAAATACTAACTTTAAATAAGAAGGACTAAAGTGAAAATACTAACCAATAAATCATTGTTCATGTCCTCTATATTCTTTTGGAAAATTATTCATCCAATTCTATCAAAACCAGTGAGAATTGACTGTGTGTTTGGCATTTCATTGAAAAAGGAACAAAAGAAAAATGTCTTTGTTTATACCAAAATGAACAGCCAATGAATACCAAACACGTGGAACAAAACAGGGCTACGAGTGCCTTCGGCACTCACCTTCGGTACCAAGCCTACCGACCGCAACATTAGGGCAACCTCGCCCCTCTGGACGCGTGGCAGTCTCACAATTGACGCCCAGAGTCCCACATCGAAACTCTCAACAAATTGCACACTTCCCAAGGCCTATAAAAGAGGACACCCATCCCAGCTTGAAGGTAATCAATCAGAACTTACGGCATACTGCCTATTGATCTGGAGTTCAAACTTATTCAATCCGTACTTACTTAAGCATCGGAGAGCCTTCGGCCGGTACCACACCGGTGCCCTAGGATTACCGTGCGTTTGCTTTCTTACAGATCGCACACCCTACCGAGGACATCTGATATCGAAGAGACCTAATCACTAAGTTACGCGGGAAAGTATCAAACCATTTTTCTGCGTCAACAGTCTTATGGAGTGTTTCATGGCTTGGCGGCCAATTGATTTGGGTGTTGAATGGAAATAGAATGCACAGGAAGCTCCCGTTCTCCAGATCATTGTTATCGTTGTCGACTTACTTCTTCCTCACCGGGCAAGAGCTCATATTTCCAAAACATTTCAACAATTGCAATCATTAAGAAAGAGTTTCATAGAGGAACGGCAATTCTAACTTGCATGATTTGGTCAATTGATATATCATCATATTTAATGTTCATTTGTGTGACTTACGTACATGTCAATTTGAGGGCATAATGGTCATTAAAAAAAATAAAAAATAAAAAATAAAAAATAAAATGAGTCATCATCAGTATGACCATTAATAAATATCTTGATATAAACCCAAAAATTGGGCCTGCATTGATCCTACAAAGCACCTGCTTTTTCCGTAATCAACGCTTTAAGCTTTTGGGTTTATGCCTAATTTTTAAGAGATATTTAGTTACATACCCATTTTTAGTAATATTGATATAAATAAACTCTACACCATTTAATTTTTGTAAACAAACCCAAAAAATGACAACTGGTCATATTGAATTTTATTTTGATTATTAAATTACTTTAATACCCTATTGAGTTTTTTGAGTTTTTTTTATGAGGTTTTGGGGTTGAGCTTGTTTGAAGAAATCGACGATAGTTTTGTAATTTATAGGAAGTTCGAAGCCTCTTTGTTATGTTGTAAATGGGCTTCGAGTGTGTTTCTAAAGTCCATTTCATATGGGGTTTTTTTTTTAATTTTATAATTTGGGTCCTTATATTAATAGTGAATCTCCCAAATTTTTTTATCTAGTATAAGTGATATTTTACTTTAATCTAATCTAAACTACAAAGAACGAATTCGAACTCAATGAAGAGTGGAAGCACATTCGACCTAGCCAACTTGACTATGCATGCCTATTGAGAGAAAGTTGATTGTAAATAAAGCAGAAGCGATGGCAGCCCTCAAGGGATGCCTCTTTCTTGGCAGTGGAGAAAGGGGTTGTGACTAGTCGAATCACATTCTAAAGAATTGATCCAGAGCATAAAATAAAGGGTAACATAAAAAGATGGTGTCTCTATCCCTACTCAGTATAGAATGGAACCATTTGCAGGCCAGTAGAGTTGCTTTGAGGTCCGGCAGGACCAAACCCTATCCTTCCTAGTTTTCGTTCTCAACAACGATGGACACCCGTGTTCCCCAAAAAACTAAGGCGATCGGGACAAGGTTCGACGTTTTTCCACCAGTGCAGCGTCTTTGGTTTACCTTGCTTCCCTGTTGTGTCGAGTGTGTCTTTACTTTTCCGGTTCTTTTCTAGTTGTCTTTGGGTGTCCTCACTAGTTTCTGGAGCACCGTCTATGGAATCTCTGATGTTAGAAAATACAAAATAAAACAAAATTAAAGAATGGGTGAAAAACAGATATGGATAGGACACTACTCTAGCTCTCATAAGATATTGTTGGTTGGAGAGGGAGACTTCTCATTTTCCGCTTGTTTGGCTCGAGCTTTTCGCTCTGCCACTAACATGGTTGCAACCACTCTTGAATCTGAAGGTACATTAATTTTTCAAGTATACCCTGCCTTTATTTTTTTTAATATTTGTTTAACATTAGTTAATTAATATAATAAATATGGCAACGGGATCTGCCCAATGGCATTGACTTTCAGACCTGAGATCTCAGTTTCAAATCCCACGGCATATTGGTTAGGGTGTGTGTGAGAATCCCCCTTCCCTAATTTAGATTATCGCTTGTACTTAAAAAAATAATTTAATATTATAATAAATGTTGGAAGTCCAGATACTCTATTGAAGGAACATTGGAGCAGTGAGGCACATGTGGATGAGTTGCAGAGAAGAGGATGCTTAGTGTTGCATGAAGTTGATGTATATGACATGGACCAGCATCCCGCCCTTATGTTCATGAAATTTGATATTATCATCTTCAACTTTCCTCATGCAGGCCATGACTATTGGCTATGCGAAAGAAACAATGAGCTCATACGGTAAGTGACCAAGCAGATCAAACTTGTCACCAGTATTCATATGAGGGACGCTTTAATTTCCGATAGTCTTGATCCATTTAATGGCGGCATCCATTAGGTGTCGTAGTAGGGTTGGATTAACATAATCCAATCTCGTACTAAAAAATGAAATAAAAGATAATCCCACCATAATCTCATTAGCTATAATTTTGTAAGTTCACTTATTCTATGAAGAAAAAAAAAGGTGAGATACATAATCTCACTACTCCAAGTATGTGACTCCAAACCCACAATCCGGGGGTCAGGAACGTGGACCATGACACTAATTAAGCTCTTAGTTGTAATCCCGAGTGCAATTCAATCCAATTTTTGTTATCAAGCATGACCTACTCTTATTGATTTTCACATGTATTTGTAATTAATACTATTAGTTACTTCATACTCTGCCCTTAGTGATCAGTTTGGGGTTTCAATTGAATTTTAGAAGGCACAGGGGTTTGCTAGAAGCATTTTTCCGAAGTGCCAGTGGGATGCTGGGCGAAGGTGGGGAAATTCATGTTTCACACAGAGACGACTATCCTTATGATAAATGGAAGTTGAAGGAGCTTGCTAAGAAAGCCGGCCTGGTTTTGAAAGAGAAAGTGTGGTTCGAAAAGTCGGACTACCCTGGCTACCACCAGAAGAGAGGTGGAGGCATCGAGAGCAACAAAACATTTCCTCTCAAAGAATGTTACACCTTCAAGTTTTCACTGAAACATGAAACAAGTGTCCTTGATTCAGAAGAAGCAACTTCAAAATTGCAGAGGAAGCTAGAGGAATTACACCTTCCCCAGCACAAAACACTTATTCGTCCAAATCACATCCATGTTCCTGAATCTGAAAGAACCAAGTTCACTTTTGGAAGTTTTGGGGCTGCTGACTTTGTCAGTGGTCCTGAGACTGATAAGAGCTCGCATATTGTAAGCTTCCTATTTTATCAGATCTTCGCATATTGGCATACTGTAACTGCTTATATATATATTTTTGCATTGATGCAATTTCTCTCTCTCTCTCTCTCTCTCTCTTGTCCCCATTGTGTCTGTCTACTTGTCAATTCATATTCTCCATCTATGTCTCTGTTGTTTCCTTTAACATTCTCACAAACTCAGTCTTGGGTCTTTTTGCTCTGTGAGGTTTGCGAAGATGAGTGGATGTGGGTTCAGGGTTTCAATCTCAAACAGCGTGAGAAAGACGATCCAGGACATCAAGGAGATAAACCATAGTGAGGAGGAAATCTATGCAATGCTCGAGAGATGTTACATGGATCCCAACGAGACCGCCCTGAAGCTTCTCTATCAAGGTACCTACAATTGGTTTGTTGCTGTTTCATGTGGGTTTTATTTGGTTTTGATTATGCGGGAAGTGGGAATTGAATTGGATTTTTGATTTGCTGCAATGGGTTTTCAATGTTTGTGACTTAGTTGGATTCTGATATCATCTTAGGATTGGAGCTCGCACTTTGTTGGTTCATAGCAATCATGTTCAGGCATTTTAGAATGACTTTTTTTCTTTTTTTGTCGTACATTTCAGAATGACTAGTGCGATCACTTTGTGTAAATTTAGAACATTTGAACTTAATTTTACCTTAAACTTGTGGCTATTTTTGGGGTACAGAAGTAAGCTCCAGCTTGCACTTAGTGGAAAATACATCTCCCCTTCCCCTGTTTTTTATGAATTATTTTAGCACATGTGTCAAACCGTGA